AAAAACAGAGCCAAAAACACAATAAATGGAGGTGTTTCGAAGACTAGGCGGCTTATTGTTGACTTTTATAACGGTGAAATTACTGCTACAGCTGTTTTTTGCAATGGTGAGTGCCTTTATGTTTATTTTCTTTCTTGTTTGCTGCTTTGTTTTGTGCTTCTTCTCTCGCGCTCTTGAAAAAAGTACGAATGAACTTAAAAATCACTGCTTACAACTTAAGCAACGCAACGACAAATGGAACAATACTAAAACAACTCGACGAGTAAGCTATTTGCTGAAACAACAACAACAATCGCAGCTGTCAGTTGGAAAAATATACACAACACAAGCAAGCACATGAACACTCTCACCCAGAACACGCCGTAATCTGCAGCCCATTTAAGCCACACAAGCTGGTTGTAAGTCAAAAAGGATGCAAGCTGAGAAAAATTGCTGAGTGGCGCAGAAAGTGGAATGAAGTCAATGCGTATATAAATGCGCCTTTTTTATGATGACTTATAGCACCAAAAGCGAATAAGAACAACAAAAAATAGATACACAGTATAATCAGTCCACAGAGAGTGTTGCAGCATTTTAACCGCTGTCATCACAATAGTATTCTTAGCGACGAGGACGGCTTTAATCTGTGTATCGTCTGAGCTTCCCTACTGGTTATCCGTTTTGATTTAATGGCAGTAACTCCACATTCACCGTTACTTTGGTCTATTATAATGAGTTTTTTGGATACCAAATATAACGCAAAGCATCTCTTAATCTAGATCGTGATTAGCAAACATTCGCTGAAAATTAGCAGCGCAATATATATGAAGACAATGAATTGTTAGGTTTGATGGGTTGTGAATTGGCTCCAAAGGAAAACCCCAAATTCAATGTTCTCAAGTTCTGTTGCTCATGTACATGCGTAATATCGTTATAGTCACTAAAGACGAATCGCTAAATCATTTCCCAAACTTAAAGGAAATTTTTTTCCTGCAACGGTAACTGGAGATGGACACATTATGATTGAAGAGTTTGAGTTGGTTCTCACACTACCACCAGTACCTTCAGTGTGGAGCGATTTGAACTTGGACGAATTAAGGTTCTTTAAATATGGATTTAAATCTAATACTAAGCTTAATAGGAAAATGCTGATCGATAACAACCTCCGTCCCGATTGACTTTGAACTTTTCTCTAAAAAGACGAGATGGCCAAAAAAAAACTGCTCAAATAAGCGTTTTAGTTATGTCAATCGAGCCACTGACCACTCACCTAGTTTCAAATCAAAATTTCCTCTGTGTATCCATTTAGTACATAAGATTCCGTCATATTTTATACCGAAACCCGCCAATTAAATATAAATTTAACATACATGTGCGCTCATTAGTTCACAGTGTTCCTTTCGACATTTCGCCAGTCCAAAATGAGCTCAAATAATGAGAATCATTATGAGAATGACAACTTGAGGACTTGACGACGATGAACGTTGTTTTAAATGAAGCGCTTAATTTAAATCGAATGAAATTAGAACACATCTACCATCATTGCAGGATTAAACGTGAGGCATTAGACAAACAAATTGTAAGGAAAGCACATAAAAACACAAACAAATAGCAAGCGAGTAAATTATGCCTTTGCACACATTCCTCACACACACACATACAAAGAAGTCAATGTATGGCAACGTTGATAACTAAGCCAATTTAGAGCGACGCTGGGCGAAGAGGCTTGAAAAAAGGGCAGCGTTGCTAACGAAGCGAAAATGAAAACGCGACTCTGTGACACACCAACATCAACTGCCATTGCTGCCAACAACTCTATAACATAATGAAAACTTATGACATGCTCATTAGGCCTTCACTCAATTTGGGAAATTACAAAATACCCGTAAAAATGACAGCTGTCAATGGGCGAGTGTAAAACTACTCTGAGATCATTTCCTCGTGGCAATCGCTTGCTGTTGGAAAGAAAGCAAGTAAAAAAAACAAGTAAGGAAGTGCTAAGTTCGGGTGTAACCGAATATTTCATACTCATACAACTTGCAAGGATCAAGTCCGTGGAAGTTCCTTCAATTAATTACTTTTATAAATATATAACTCATACACTGACCGACATATTGAGCATTGGGTTTGTTAAAATAACAAAACTCATTATATGTGGTATATGAGGGTTTCGGTAATTCGTAACCCAATATTACATATTTTCGGCATTAAGCTATAGTATGTCTAATATTATCCGTTCTGATTCAGCCTATTTTTCACAATATTTAACAGTTTAGTTTCGATTTAGATAATTTTTAGTCATAAGCTGGCACACTTCCAAGTCAGTATTCGTGCATTATTTCGATACATTCATTGGTGCTTAATTTGTATACTGCAAAGTGAAAAATCAGATGGAATTTAAAATTGTGTAGAGTAGAAAGTAGGCGTGGTTGTAGTCCGATATCGGCCATTTTCACACTACGGCATAAGAATGTTAGAAAAATTCCACCTACCGTTTGGTTAAAATCGGTTGAGCGAGTCCCGAGATATGGGTTTTCACCTAACTGTAGGCGGTGCCATGCCCATCGCCTAATTCTGACCCCGGCTCCTATAAAGTTCTCTTGTACCGTCTCGGACAGTCAATCGGAACTCAACTCGTCTTGTCATCCTGTCATTTATATATATATTTATATATATACGACCCTATATCTATCTCCATTAGTTTTAGGTAGTAAAAACAACCGTTAGAAGAATAGTATACTCTGTAGCAACATGTTGCAAGAGTATAATAAGAACGCCGCTCTTTGTTACTTATGAAACAAAGAACTGCAAACAATGAAACATGGAATTTGAAACAAGAAAGTGGCAGAAACAAAAATTTTGCACAGAAAGTAATTAAGTGATGAGAAGTGGAGTTGCAGGGCTGACTCCATATGAACGTAACCAAATCTACAAGAAAAGTGGGAGATTTCAAAGGACGAGGTGCGACTTTAATGAAAGTGCGCACCAACACAAGAAGCGGAGCAGCTCCATGAAGAAAAGGCGGTGAAGAATCGGAATCCGCCACCAACAAGCAGACAAGTAAGTAATTGAGGAAAAGTTAAAGAAAAGGCGCAAATAGGCACATAAGTAGCAATTATTATAATGATGGCATATTTTCCATGGAGCCGAACAACAGCAAATGTTAACAAAAGTGTCGGAAGTATGTGTATGCGGGTGTTTAAGATATAACGACTAATTGAAAGTAGACGTGATTTTATTATTTCCAAAACAGTCTCATGTAAATAGAAGGTTACCAGCTGTTTTAAAAAATGTAAGTGTCAGTAATATATTCAATAAAACTATCTTAAATAAAAATTAAATTAAAAAAACAATGCGCTTACGACATAAAAAGGTAAGTTAACATCAAATTTCTTTAAAAAAAATTGTAAAACGTATTTTTATTATACATTTATTTTAATTTTCACATAAATTTTGAGATAGTTGTAGATATTTTTATTACCAACAACTCTGGCATATAACTTTTTTCTATAGGGCTCGTAGTTTTGTCAGAAATGGCGCTTTAAACCTTAAAAAATAAAACGACACCTCTCACCTTCATCTTCCTGACTTCAGACCCCCCGTAAATTTTTTTCCTTTAATTTCTGTTATTTGATCATCTTTTTCCAACGGGTTCTTACTGTGATTTTTTACACTTTTTACCATTTTCAAAGGTTTTTACGCTAGCCTAATGTTTATTACTTATAATATTATTTCAACCTTCAACATAATATTAATTTTAATAATTTCTCTAAGATGTTTAAGACAGCCATTTTAGCATGGTAGACAACTAAATATTTAAAACTTAGTAAAAAATATAACTATATTTGGCCCAACTTATATAGCGTGGTCAAGTAAGCTTTTTAAGGTAACATAAATTTGTATCAGCGTTGCCAATAGTTTCCACTTTTATTGTATAAAACATACAGTTGAAAGTTTTGAGCAACATTCCCAACAAATTTATTAAGCTGTGTTCATAACCTTAAATTCTTTGCCGTCATCACCGACATTGCACAAAATAATGCAGATATTCAAACACATTTCGACACACTCGCTCTACCAACAACTACCGAAAACACTAGACACTTATGCACCAGTTCTTACTTGCAACTGCATTTAAGGCTTGTGGCATGCAAAATAATGCACAAATGAGTGAGAATGTAATGCAGAGGTTAATCTTGTTGGCAACAAGCAACCAATTTGAGAGCCAAAACCGGAAGGTAAAAGTAAAAATTACAAACAGAAAACAAACTTTCCTTGCAAAATACAAGTTAAATCCCCAAGCGAAAGGTAGCGTAGCCCGCCTAACCTCGCCCCAACTAACCTGACAGCCACAAATTGGTGTGAAAGGTAGGATTTTCCGGAGCGCTTAATGCGGAGGAAAATTATTTCAACAATGCAGTCGGATTTTGGTGTTTTCGGCATTATATTTTGTTGCTGTTATTATAATATTGCGAAAAAGATTTGCTTTGTTGCAACATTGTATGCCAGCTATTAGAAGCAATTTGTAAAGCGCACGAAGAGTTGAAGCAGTCGAGAAGAATGGAGAAAGGCACTTAAAAGGCAGCCATTTGCCTTGGCTTTTAACCTGTTTGCTTTTACTGCACACATGCAAAGGCGCCTATGTGTGTACGTATATACGCATGTCCTTGCTTATGTTTGTGTGGGCGTGTGCACTCCACTAGATTTACCTCACTCTTCCGTTAAGCCAAGTGCACTTATGTAAATTTTTCTAGAGGCGCAGCTCCGCCCTGCCAATTCCCCAAATGCATATTCTCTATTCACCCCTTCTTCTGCTCACCTTTTAGCACGCGAATGAGTTGGAGTTTCACAGGAAAAAAAGTTCTAAAGGAATGTTCTACGGGGGAACAAGTGCGTTAATAGTACTCCCAACTTGATGGCATACGCCCGCCCAGCACGCCGTTAGCCTTGTGCCTGCGTACGGGGCGTTCGCTTTGTGTTCAATATGTTTACTCTAAAAGCTTGCTTTATGCGTTGCTCACCTTTGTTATTGCTGTCGCTGCTATTCTTTCAAGCGTTAGGTACGGTCTTCGTCTATTTCGATATTTGTTTGCTCCTCCGTTCCATGTCCAGGTGTGCGCTAGCTGCTTTCTGAGGGACTAAAGGTATGCGAGGTTACGACTTTCGCAATTTGTTTCGTTGGAAGCGCTATTGTTGTTGTTTATTTGTCTTTGTTGAAATGGATCTGCGAAGAATGCAAGGTAAATGAATGTTAAAATTTTTGTAGACACTGATGCAGAGTAAAATGTGTTGGTGGCAAGCAAAGTATTAAAATTCAGTACTAGAATACTAGAGTAGATATTCTTAAAAATAGAATTTCCACACATGGCGCTAATAAAAGATTTCCATTAACATATCAGGGTGCGGAGCACATGTACACAATATTTTAGCTGAAAGGAGGAAAGAAATATTATTTTATATTTATTGTATTTCACATTTGATTACAAAATACTTCTTTTCATCATTTTTAGACTTCATTGAGTTTATTCTTGTGAGTTGATTCACCTTTTTATACCCTGAACAGGGTGTATTAAATTTACCACGAAGTTTGTAACACCTATAAAATATATAATATGTATATAAATGATCAGCAGGATGAGCTGAGTCGATTTAGTCATGTTCGTCTTCATCCGTCCGAAGAAATTTTTCAGATCGAGTAACTATCACATATAGCTGCTATACAAACTAAGCGATCAAAATAAAGTTCTTGTAAGGAAATTTGTATTTGTGAAGGGTAACCATTTTATTTTCTGTTTTTAGTTAAATTAGTTTTTTTATTACAGTTTTTACAGTAATTTAATCTTAGCTTAATTTAGATATATTTATACTCTCGCAACCTGTTGCTACAGAGTATAATAGTTTTGTTCACCTAACGGTTGTTTGTATCACCTAAAACTAATCGAGTTAGATATAGGGTTATATATATATAAATGATCAGGATGAAGAGACGAGTTGAAATCCGGGTGACTGTCTGTCCGTCCGTCCGTCCGTGCAAGCTCTAACTTGAGTAAAAATTGAGATATCTTTATGAAACTTGGTAGACATGTTTCTTGGTACCGTGAGACGGTTGGTATTGCAGATGGATCACATTAGGGAGGGGCATCTGCAGTTAAAACTTTTTTTTAAAAAGTGGGCGTGGTCCCGCCTCTAATAGGTTTAATGTGCATATCTCCTAAACCGCTAATGCTATAATAACAAAATTCACTGGAAGCAAATGTTTTTAGCACTTCTATTGACGGTGTGAAAATAGTTGAAATCGGGTGGCAACTCCGCCCACTCCCCATATAACGGTACTGTTAAAAACTACTAAAAGCGCGATAAATCAAGCACTAAACACGCCAGAGACATTCAATTTTATCTCTGAGATGGTATAAGATGACTTTATAGGAACCGCGTTCAAAATTAGACAGTGGGCGTGGCACAGCCCACTTTTAGGTGAAAACCAATATCTTGAGATCTGCTTAACCGATTTCAACCAAATTCGGTGCGTAACGTTCTTTTCATGTTTCTATGTCATAGTGCGAAAATGGGCGAAATCGGATTACAACCACGCCTATTTATCATATGACACCATTTTAAATACCACTTGATTCTTTCACTTTCCACTATGCAAATCAAGCAACAATGATTATATCGGCGTAAAACTTTGCGTGAATAATGCAATTAAAGTATGCCATCTTGCGGCCAAAAATTGTCTAAATCGAACCAAAACTGTTCAAACCCCTAAGTACTAAATATGTGGACCCCAGTGCCTATAGTTGACCTTCTACCGAAAATATCAGTCAATCCACAAAGAATTCTCAAACGAGTATACCATTTGACTTTGCGAGAGTATAAAATGTTCGGTTACATCCGAACTTAGCCCTTCCTTACTTGTTTTCTTCTGAATTTCTTTATCCAACAGCATTTTTCAACTTACCAATTCCTCTAGAATTAATTTACACTTCCCTTTACTCTAAACCGTGGCCAAGCAAAGTTGTACAGTCACGCAAAAATAACAGCGCAGTCCCAATGCGTTTACACCTTTTACATATTTTTTTATTTAGTACAACTTTACTAAAATTTATTATTTGCTTTTCACGAGAATATTTCCACATGTATGGAATGCGATGTTGTGCAGAAAAAAATGCCACACCAGCTTAAACTTCATTAATGTGCATTTTTACACTTGATTGCATTTATGTTGCACAAGTGCACAAGTATTTTCTGTGTTCAACTATGAGATATAACTTTCATTTATTATATTCAATATACATGTATATAATATGCATACGAGTACATGGTTTTACATGGTTTTATGTGCAAATATTGCTGTGGTTATGGTCGTTTTTGAACCTACAATTGACTGCTTTGCTGCAGAAAAAGTAATTAATTTGCTTTCGTATTTATTGCAAGCGTGCTCTCACACTGCTACATTTTTATTATTTACAGTTTTTAGTGTGCAACTTTTAGGTACATGCATATGCATGACTTCAACAGCAATAACTTTGGCAATTAACAAGTGTGTGCATTTTTTCAGAGTTATTTTTCTTGCATGGTTCAATTTTTGTTATATTTTCACTTGTGTAACCCAATTTGACGCTCAAAGATATTGCTTCGCACTAATTATTATATCAATTGAGAAACACTAGGTATCGACAAATTTAGCTAGCAATTTTAAGAAGAAAATATTGGAGGCAGCACGCTCATTAGGGTGGTACATATAAATAGCATGCAATATTTTAGCCATGCAATGCTGAAATTAGACTGGCAACAAACCAAAAAGAAAGAAACAAAGAGCTGAGTGAGAAGACAGCGAAAGTTACGCCTACGGATATACAACAAAAAGTGTACAAGAGTTGCATATTTTCGTTCAACTATATTTTCCTATTCCTTGTTAGCTTTCCTTTTCGCCTTTGGTTTTACTTTTACGTTTACTTTTACTCTTGCCTTTGACATCGCTTTGCGGTTGCTTGGTTGGTTGGTTGCACACGCACTTGCTCCGGTGCAAATGAATACAAACAAGAAAAGTGTCAGTAGTTACAACAACAAAAAGAAAGGTGCCAAGGTAAAAGCAAACGTGCGAAAATTAAAAGACTGAACACATGACCACCATACTTCACGCCAAGGGGTTAGGGAAACATTTCAAATGAAGGTAACAGAAATGATGAAAGTGACAGCTGTTAGGGCACAAACTTATTGCTTATATTTATTTAAAAATATTTCAAAGCAATCCAATTACAAAGTCAGCTTCCTATCGTACTCTCTTGCTACCCTGACAGAGTTGGCCGAGGGATCGAGGCGTAAAATTCCATTGAATGAAATTGCAGTGATTTTTAAATCTGAAATTGAACTTCACAAACCTGCTATCAAATACTCCATTGCTTGAACAGAGAGAGGATATTGTCGTAAAATAGGAGAATATGAGAAAAAGAGCCTTAATTCTTCAGCTTATATCTATTTGTATAACCATATTTTAACAAATTTAGAATGTAGTTGGTTTTAGCACAATTAAAATACTTTTAACAGAACTCTAACGGTTTTATATCCCTGAAGTAATGCGAAAGCAGTTCTAGGGTGGGCGACGGTTTCCTAGAGGAGAGGTTTTTAGTGACCTGCAAGTGGCACCTACCATTGCTGTGACGACACAATGACGATGCGGACTAATTTCATTTAGTAATGACCTTTAATGATTCTAACCGATATTTTTACTTGTTTGTGAATTTCTTTGAATTCACTGAATGTCACTGTTAATCGCTTAGCGCAATTATTTACGAAGTCAAAAGAAGGTCAGTTAAGTTAAACTCATTTCAAACAGAAATAGCCGTTGCGCATGCGCATCACTAGATTCAGGCCCTATGTTCTCTCTGGTGATGCGTGCCTGTGGCACATTGAATAACAAACTACCCTACAACGATTGACCGTAGCGTTGTAGTGTGTTGCATGCAGCCGGCGTACTGTAACGTGCGTTTAGTGCGCTGAATATACTAATATTTACTACAAGCACACATACAGATAAATGGTATGCTGTACGTGCAACACGCAACAATGCAGGCGATCTTCGTAAGCATCATTTTGTGCAATGGGACGTTGAATCAAGGGTGATGCCAGTTAGTTGTTGAAAAAATTAATAGATGTACATACATATGGTATGTGGTAGCAACGAAAACACAGTTCAATTATCATCACTTAAGGCACTACAAAAACAAAAACACTTTAAAGCTCCGGTTAAAATTTCATTTCAATTTAATTCATTTAATGACAGCGCGAAAATTAATTTCCTCACACAAAAAACAAAGGAAAAATGTAATTTTGTTGTTATTTTACGGTTTTATTTTTTGATTGTTACTGTTCTTTTGTTAAGAATTCTGACATTAAGTTTGTCAGCTTTTCATGTGCTCGCTACTCTTTTCATTTGCTTCAACAAATTTTATGTCCACTTGGCGGCGGCCTTTGTGGCAATTGGTGGATAAGATAAGTGACACGCCAACATCATTTCGTGCGGTAGGCAAATAAATTTATTATTGCACCGTTAAAATGTCAATGCATTCTTTGTTGTTGCTACTATCGCCAGCAGTGCGATTCTTCATGCGATTTTTGTTTAAACTTTTTTGCAGCCGTCAGTGTAGCGGTTATTGCCTTTTGATGCTCACAATTTCCGTAGTGATATTGCAGCCATTTCACTGCTGCTATGCACTGCACTGTTTATGTTATTGTTGTTTGATTGTCTTCATTAGCGTTTTGCATTCGTTGCATGCCGTTACATTACTTGCAATCAAACTTGTAGATACTTCACGCAGCTTAAATAAATGCTAATAAGAAGCATTCGCATTGTTATTGGCTGACACGATGGCAACCCCACAATATAAAACATATTTCAATTTTAGCTTTTTCCAACTGTGTTTCAAAATGACGTTAAAGGGACGTTATGCAATTATTAAACCTCACAAGGCAACCTCCTGTAGTAAGAGAACAACAACTCAGACAACTGGTTCCGATCAGCAGTAAATGAATAGTTTGTATGTGCGTAGCTTCTATTATAAACGCCTACAACGGTGAACCGTTGCAGTCAAAGTTAAATCCTTAATTAGAATATCATTAATACAAGCAGCAGTATGCCATACTGCAATTTTCTCTGCAACTCACACACGCATACACATACATACGTAGGTATATGGGAACTGCATAGTTCTCCAGCCACCTTGA